AGTTAGCAGAGTGCTAGTATGCATGAAGCCCAGATATGGTGGCACACTCCTACCATCTCAACATTCGGGAAGTGGCTGCAGGATATCAGGAGTTCAAGGTCATCCTTAGCTACATGTGGAGTCTAAGCCAGCCTGGGATACTTGACATCTGATCTCAAAATAAATATTAAGTAGAGGGGGAGGGAAAATAGCACAGTGGGTGCAAGCGTTTACCATGCAAGCATGAGGAAGAGTGTAATTCCAGCAAAGACCAACGCCAGAGCTGTCCTCTAATCCCAACATGCGCACTGTGGCACCAAAGCACAGACTCAATCATGTATAGAGACAGCCAGATACGGTAGCACATGCCATAATTCCAACACCTGGGAGGGGCACAGGAGGAACAAGGCCGTCTTTGGGACATAGAGAGCGTGGAGCCAGGCACGGTGGCACACCCCTGTAATCCCAGCACTCGGGAAGGCACAGACAGGCCAATTGCTCTGAGTTCAAGTCCAGCTTGGACTACAAAGTGAGTCCAGGACAGCCAAGGCTACATAGAGAAACCCCGTCTCGAAAAAAAAGTGTTTGAAGCCAGCCTGAGCAATACAAGATTTTGCCATATACACACCAAAATAAATAAATAAGATAAAACTGGATCTGAAGCTAAATACATATCACTGTATCACTTGTAATCCCAGCAATCAGGAGACTCAGGTAGGATTGAAACAAGATTTGAGGGGACTGGAGAGATGGCTCAGCAGTTAAGAGCACTGACTGCTTTTCCGGAAGACCTGAATTCAGTTCCCAGCACCCACGTGGCAGTTCACAACTATCTGTAACTCCAAGATCTGACACCCTCACAAAGAAATACATGCAGACGAAACACCAATACACATAAAAATGTAAATAAATAAATTATAAAAGAAACAAGTTTGAGGCCAGTCTGAACTAGTTTTGAGCCAGCCTAAGCTACAGAGTTCCTATCTCAATAAATAAATAATATGTAATAAATAAAAACAGTCACCAGGCACGGTGGTACACACCTGTAATGCCAGCACTAGGGGAGGCAGAGCAGGAGGATCTGTGCGAGTGTGAGGCCAGCCTAGTCTACAAAGCCAGTCCAGGACAGGCAAGACTACACAGAACCCTGTCTCAAAAACAAATAAATAAATAAACAAACAAATAAATAAATAAATAAATAAATAGGCCTGGAGAGTGGCTCAACAGTTAAGAGCACTGACTACTTTTCCAGAGGACCCTGGTTCAATTCCCAGCATATATATGTTAATTCTAGTTACCATGTTAATTCCAGTTTCAGAGTATCCTCTGTAGGCACCACACAAGCACATTGGTATAGATATACATGTAGACAAAACACCCATCTACATGAAATAAAAATAAACCCTCTCCTCCCCTTCTCTCTATGACAAGGTCTTATACAGAACTTGCTATATAGACCAGGCTGGCCTTGAACTCAGAGATCCACCTGCCTCTGCCTCCATTCGCAAGAGCTCAGATTAAACATGTGTACCACCATATCCTACTTCTGGCCACATATTCATGCTCAGACCATAATCAAGCATGTGTGTGCACACAGACACACACACACACACACACACACGGAAAGGAATGTAGAGGACATCCTTGGGCCAGAGATTTTTTTTTTTTAAAGATTTATTTTATGTATTTTATAAATGGTTGTGAGCCACCATGTAGTCGCTGAGAATTGAACTCATGACTTTTGGAAGAGCAGACCAGTGCTCTTAACTACTGAGCCATCTCTACAGCCCCTTGGGCCAGAGATTTAAATATACCATTACTGAAAGTAGCTCTTGTCTTACTGCCTGTTGTTATTTCAGATAACTGTCTCCTCCTGCCAACCTGAACTAAGAGCTGGAACCTTCCCATAAGCTGACTGCACATCTTAGTTCCAGGCAAATACATACAAAGACCTAGTTGGTGGGTGACATTATCTTGTCTACAGTTACTGGAAGAGGGCTCATGAAGTCTCTGTGAAATGCTGCTGATTCTTAGGAAATCTTGAACCCTCAAGAACATAAAGTGCAGAAAAGAAGAAAGTAAAGGTGCCCTTTGCTGCCTAAGAAGATACACCTTTCAAACTGTTTAGTTTTCATTCAACTTGGCATACGCTATGGTCATCTGAGAAGTGAGAACCTCAACTGAGAAAATGCCTCCATCAGATTGGTCTGTAGAGTCTGTGGGAGCATTTTCTTGATTAATGATTGATGTGAAAGGGCCCAACCCACTGTGGAAGGTGCTACCCACCCCTAGATGGGTACTAGATGACATTTAAAAAGCCAGCTGAGACAGACGTGGTGGTGCTCACCTTTAATCCTAGCACAGGGAGGCAGGGGAAGGTGGATCTCTGAGTTCAAGGTTAGCCTGGTCTACAAAGTGAGTTCCGGGACAGCCAGGGCTACATAGAGAAATCCTGTCTCTAAAACAAACAAACAAACAGACAAGCAAAAAGCCAGATGAGCAAGCCAGTAAGCTGCCTTCCTCCATGTCAGTCCCTGCCTCCAGGTCCCTGTCCTGAATCCTCTCCAGGATTGAATGATGGGTTATAGACTGTAAAATACACCTTTGCTTGAGTTGCTTTTAGTCATGGTGTTTTGTCACCACAGTAGAAAAGTAAGCTGTTACAGGTTGGTCTGATGGGTGCGACTGGCCCTCAAGATCTGGTTACACCCATCTTTGTTTTGTAAACCTACCTTACTGGCTAATTTTTAAAAGGCCTGTACCTGGGCAGGGCAGAATGGAGTAGGCGTGGCTAAGGTTCCAGGGCTTTGGGGTTCAAGAGAGAATCACGGGAAACAGACAGATGGAGAGGAAGGAGGATACCAGGATGGGTTAGCTTGGAGAAAGAACCACGTGGGACTGGAGAAATGACTCCAATAATGGCTTGGAAAGGCCCAGATGGAGAATACAAGCAAGTACCATGGGAATATGGATGAAAGGTAGTCCAATTGAGGAATAAGGTGGATAGCATTGGATGGGGGCTGGGAGATGGATGATGAGGATATTGATACAGTGTAAATGAAATAGCTGCCTGGCCCAAGGTAAATAAGGCAATTATAAATCTAACAGGTGTCTGTGTCTTTATTATTTGTGATAGCAAATTGAATAATACCACTGTGAGACAATCTTGATGGCAAATAATAAGCATTATATAGCCCAACACTCATTTCTTAATTTACTACAACAGTAAGCTAAAGAGCAAAATGCTAACTATGAGACATTTTTGCTTTGTTGTCTTTATTTGTTGGTTTTAAGACAGGGAACTGTCTCAGGAGCCCAAATTGGCCTCAAACTCTAGATCCTTCTGTTTCCACCTCTCTAGGGCTGGGATTGCAGGTACGAACAACATAAGACATTAAAAAAAAAAAAAAATGAAATTGAACAGAAATGGATCAGGAGTATAACATGATAGTATAATACTTGCCTAGCATTCATGAGGCCTTGGGTTCAGCAATCCCCCAGACACTACAAAGAAAAGAAAGGTGGGGGCAGTAGAAACAAGAAAACCAGCTAGCAAACTACTCAGGTATGGCAGCACTTTTTTGTTGTTGTTCTGTTTTTGTTTTCGAGACAGGGTTTCTCTATGTATCCTTGGCTGTCCCAGACTGATCGGCCTGCCTCTGCCTCCCTGAATGCTGGGATTATAGGTGTTTGTCACCTCACCTGGCTACACACCTATAATCTTAGAATTTAGGAGGTTTTATCAAGATCAGAAAGTTCAAAGTCATTGTGGTAGTTTGAATGAGAAAGCCCCAGCCCCCCATATGCAAGTATTCATATGTTGAATACTTGGTCTCCCAATTGTTGTTCTTTCAGAAAGATTAGAGGTATAGCCTTGCTGGAGGTGTCACTGTGTCATTAAGGTTTCAAAGGATCTGCCAGTCCCTGTGTGCTCTCTGCTTCCTCTTTGTGGATGGGATGTGGTCTCAGCTTCTGCTCCAGTGCCATGCCGGCCTGCCAGCTGCTGACATGCACCTCACCACAGTGGTGATGGACTCCTAACTCTGTAGAACTATAAGCCCCACGTAAACCCTTCTGCAAGCAGCCTTGGTCATGGCGCTTTGTCAGAGCCTTAGGAAAGTGACTGAGACAGTCACTCTCACTCAACGCCAATCTGTGTGACGAAAAAATCCTGCCTCCAAAAATTTTAAAAAGGAGGCTGGAGATGGCCCACCAGTTAAGAGCACTTGCTGCTCTTCCAGAGGACCCGTTTGATGGCCAGCATCCATATGGCAACTGACAACCATGTGTAACTCCAGTTCAAGAGGATGTGACGCCCTCTTCTGGCCCCTCGGGGACACTGCACACAGGTGGTGCATAGACATACATGCAAGCAGAATACCAATACTCAAAATAATAAGAATAACTTTAAAAATGAAAATAGAATTTGAATCATGGAACTCTTTATTTTCTCACAAAGGTTACAGCAAAAAACACTTTTTTTTAGCAGTGTACACCTTTAATCCTACGAACAGGGAGGCAGAAGCAGGAGAATTTCTGTGAGCTCAAGGCAAGCCTGGTCTACATAGCAAGTTCCAGGACAGCCAGGGCTACATACAGAGACACTTTTTCAAAAAACAAATAAATAAAGGTTTTGGTTTTGTTGGTTTGTTTTAAAAACAACTGAATTTCAGAGAACCTGAGAAGCCTACTGTAAACATGCAAACAGGGCTATGGAGGATGAGGAGGGGTGGAGAAGCTGGAGTAAGCCTCAGGAAGCAGTGCGACTGCCTAGATCTACTGCCCACCAGAATATCACACTCTTCTCTGCAATCTCATCACTACTGCTTCAGCCCAACATGCAAATCCATTCCATTCATCAAGAGAAATCATTTCTTTCCAAGTTCACTTGAGCTCCTAGTCAGAGGTGTACCTATGAATATCAGATTTCAGAGGTAGAGATCACAGGAAACAGTTAAATAACAAGAAGGAAATGCATGGCTGAGCCTATCCCACTAGGGTACAGAGTCATAGAAAACACATCAGGCAGTTAAGCCACTTTATTTTAAATTAGATGGGGAGCAGGAATGGTTGGACAGTGAGATGCCTCAATGAAGAGGGTGCATACCAGAGGGCATGAGAAAGCCGCCGTGGACAGGAGCCTCATCTCATTTCCTTACAGGTCCTTATAGGTCACCCTGGAAGATCCTGGGGCCCTGAAGGAACAGGTCCTCTTGCCTAAGACTCTGGACATGGGACTGAAGGCCGCTGGATTCCAGGTTAAAAAGGGAACTGCTCTGGAGTTCTAAGACGAAGGAAAACGAAAAACAAACCATTAGCAAGACTGACAGGCACAGAACTAGGCCTTGGACCTCCCTGGACAGGACACACAGACCTGGTCTGTATGTGCCCACCCTGTGGTGGTTTCTGACTGTCTATCTGTGCCTGTCCCCCAACCGCAACAAAGTGGTTTAATGAAAATGTAGTGACATGTATCTGTAATCCTAGCACTCAGGAACTTGAGGCAGGAAGACTGTGAGTTCAAGGCCAGGTTGAGCTACATAGCAAGTCTGAGGCACAAAGGAAAAACTGGCCTTTAAATATTAAATAATAACTACTTTGGTTTTTCTTCAAGTCACATAAATCTTTTGACTTTTACTAAACAAATATCAAATAATAAAGTAGCTTAACTCTCTCTGCTATATATATGGGTAGATGGCTTCACACAGAAGACAACACCAAACAATTAGACAGCTGCAACAGGCATCATTCAGATTCAGCTTCCCCCAGAACTGTCCTTACCCCTATCTAGTTTCTTTAAAAGTTCCCAGCTACGGTCACAGTCTGGAAGACTGACTTCAGAGCTAGATGAAGAAAGAGACATGGTGAAGATGGTGGCCAGAGGCAGCTTAGATTGCTGGGCATGAACAGAGGTCCTAGAAAGAACAACCAGAGGCAGAGATGATGATGGATCTAGGACGCTGTTCCGGCATAAACTGTCCTCCATTCTGAGACCAGGGCTCCAGACTCCCTCCCCCCAACCCTGGCCATTATCATCCAGACATACAGAGACAGAGGACAACACTGCATCAGATGAAGAATGCCTAACAGTGTGGCCAGCAAGGTGGCGCAGCTGATAAACACGCCTGCCACCAAGCCTAACAACTTGAGGCTGATCCTCAGAACCCATATGATACAAGGAGAGAACTGATTCCTGGTGGTCCTCTGGCCTCCACATGCACTTCACGCTACATGCATGCCCACCATATGCAGACTAAATAATAAATACAATGCAAAAAAAAAAATTAGTAATGCAGGTGGGCATAATAGCACACACCTGTTGGTCAGTACTCAGTAAGCAAAGACAGCAGGGTGGCGAGTTTGAGGTCAATCTGGGCTGCCCAGTGGAACGCATCTCAATAAAAATAAATATTAAAAAACACCTGCATTTGGAGGTGGATCAGGAGGATCAGGAGTTCAAGAACAGCCTAGGCTAGAATGTCCAACAAATTTTTTTTTTTTTAAGATGTTTATTATATATACAATATTCTGTCTGCATGTACACCTGCACACCAGAAGAGGGCACCAGATCTCATTATAGATGGTTATAAGCCACCATGTGGTTGCTGGGAATTGAACTCAGGACTTCTGGAAGAGCAGACGGCACTCTTAACCTCTGAGCCATCTCTTCATCCCCTCCAACACTGTTCTTATGAATAAAACTCCAGATACTCAGACTGACCACCCCAACCAATTCTGGCCAAATTTAGGCTAGTTGAATTCTGCTTAACATCTCTGACACAAATCCCCTCTACTGCCACAGTACACACAACTTCTGACCTGAGGAGGTAGGGCTCCTCCTTCCGGGCATCATGGGCCTCTGTCCTGGTAACCTCCAAGGTATGAACCTTGCCCTTCTGGTCACTCTGTAGGTGTTCCAACATCTGCCAGACCATGGTGCAGAGGGAGGACTAAATCTCTCTCTCTCCAAGGGCAACGCCCTCCCACCGCTCCCCTCCTCCACACACAAGAATCTTCAGGTGGGCAAGGATAATGGGAAAAACTGCTTTGGAGAGATGTGGAATCGGAATGGGGAAGGAAGATAAAGATGGGGATGGGATGGGAGAAGACCTTCTGGCCTTTCTGCAGAGCAGGACAGACAGGAAGGATGGGGGACTCCTGGAAAAAATTTGTAGAGGTTGATGCAACCCTGTCCTACCTTCCAGCTGCGGGCCTGAACCTGGCGCCCCTCGGCCATCTGTTCCAGTAGCAACTCCTGATGTTGGCCTGAAAATAAGACAGAGTATTAGGGGACCATTCTTCAACTTCACTCCTTCCTCACTGCCTTGTGACCGGATTAGTAGAAGAAATGTACACAGACATGTTCTGCTCCAGCTGGTAGAAAGATTCCAAGCTGGTGGGAAAGACTTAAATTCACGCTTGAGAGACAAAGAGCAAAATAAAATATTTTGCCAAAGGCTAGGGGTGCAGCTTGGTGGGAGCACATGCTTAGCAAGTACAAGGTCTTACGCATGTGATACCCAGCATCACACAACATACAAATTGCACAATACACAAATAATAGTAACAATAATAATATCAATAATAATTTGCCTGGGGTAGTGCCACTCCTAAGTGCTTTATCCCAGCACTTAGGAGGCAGAGGCAGTTGGTCTCTGTAAGTTCAGGGCCAGTCTAGTTCACACAGTGAGTCTCAGGACAGCCAGGGCTGAGACCCTGTGTAAAGACCCTATGCAGAGAGCCAGGGTTATGTCTTAAAAAAAAATAAAAATAACAATTTGCTAGACTTCTCAACAGCTCAAATAGGCTGAAGTATGGTCACTTACTAGAAGAACAAGAAGACATTTCAAAATCAGGGACAAGAGAATACTCTCAATCTTTTACTTACTCAGCTGGTCTCGAAGCAACTTCAGTTCCTCCCGAAGAATCTCTGACTCTTCCCACAAAAGCTGGTGCCTACATGAGTGACAGCAGTGTCACTCTAGAATCAGACAACAAACCCAGAGTGGCTGGAGATTACAGCTCAATGGTAAGTGTCTACTTAGCATACACTAGGCCCAGGGTTCAATATCCAACATCAAAGAAAAACAACGTGAGGAAGCCAAACATTTGGTATGCCAATTGCTCAGAAGCCTCACAAGAAAAAGCCTTGAGGGTTGGAAGATGGCTAGGTAGTTATGAAAATTTGCCACTCCTCTTTTTTCTCCCTCTCTCTTTTAAGATTTAGTTCTTATTTATACAGCATTCTGACTGTGCACCAGAAGAAGGCACAGGTGTCACTATCTGATGGTTGTGAGCCACCATGTGGTTGCTGGGAATTGAACTCAGACCTTTGGAAGAACAGCCAGTGCTCTTAACCTCTGAGCCATCTCTGCAGCCCAAAACTATGTCACTCTTAAAGAGAAAATGGATTTCTAGCATCCACATGGTAGATTAAAATCATCTTTAACTTCAATTCCAGGGGATTTGACAAGCATGCATGTGGTATGCATATATGCACACAGATAAAACATTCATACACTAAATATTTTTTCTTGTCCTTTTTGTTTTCTGTGACAGGGTCTCACTATGTAGACCTGATTGCCCTACAACTCAGTATGTAGATCAGGCTAGTCTTGAACTCATAGAGATCTGCCATCCTCCACCTCCTGGGCACTAGAATTAAAAGTGTGTGTCTCCAGGAAGTGCATCTTAAATACATAAATAAAAATATGAAGTCTTGCCCATCACTTACTCGGTCTGCAGCTTTTGGTGAAAGCCACTCGTAGTACTGAACTTTCCGGGTCTTGTTTTCATCTGGGTTTGGACTAGCTCTTGAACCTGACTCCTGAGGCCCTGCAGTTCCTTTCTCAACCCTTCCAGGCGTTGCTCCAGGAGGGCTCTCCCTTTAGGGCCCTCCTGCAGCAGTTTCAGTGAGGCTGTAGTGGGGAAAGGAAAGGTCAGCTGCTCTAAGAGCTACCTGCACAGCAAAACTGTGGCCAAGTATATGAAGTTGTGAGGGGCTGGAGAGATGGCTCACCCACTAAAGGCTACGCCTCACAACCAAAAGTTGTAAGGAGCTCAGTGGGTAACTCAGCATGCACAAAACCCTGGTTTCGGTTTTAAAACTCTGTGTGCTGTACAAGGGAAGGAAGCAGCCCGATACCTTCCAGAGCACTGATCTTGAAGATCTGCTGCTCCCGATCCTTCAACAGGCTCTGCACAGCATGCCTCAGAGCTTCAGTCACCTACCCAAGCAGAGAGAACACAGACACGACTTTCTAAGTCATTTTCCCAACTCCTAATATCCACCATCTCGCATTACCACCACATACAAACACCTAATGCCTCACCTGAGCCTGAGACTGAAGCTGGGATCGTAGTTTAGTAACTTCATCCCAGAGAGATGAGCTGTGGCCTTCAGTGCAGCTCAGTCTCTCTCCAGGAATGGGAGTCTTTTGAGCCCAAGGCTGTTGAGCTTGGGCCCCTGGCTGAGGAGGCAAGTGATGAGGGGAAATCCAGGTGTCAGCCAGGTTCCCTATTGAGGGAATGGGGAAGGGACAAGAACAGGGTCTGTCTGTGTAGGAAATCAGAGTTCCAGAAGGGAAGGAGCTGGAATCTGTACAGAATTATAAATAGTACAGGCAGGCACTGGAAGAAAGAAGGCCTTGAGAAAAGGCTGGGAGACAGGATAATACTGACCTGTAGAGGAAACTTGAAGGGGATACAAACTCTGCTACAAAAGAAAACACATCCACAAGCCAGTGAGCACTTAATGCCCCTTAACCTTCGCCCTAGCCGAGACTCCCGATGTAGGGGAGGGGATCCCGCGGGGTCGGAGGGGAGGTTCTTGCGCCTCCTCACCTTAATCCGGGCCATGTTTTCATCAGTTGAACTGAGAACCGCATGAAGCTGATCGGACCAGTTAGGGCTCCTGCTCATCCTGCGAGATACCCGCAGGACAGCCCAGGACAGGCCACAGTGTTAGATGGAAAAGAGCAAAGTGGGAATGGGATGCTACGGCTGCAGGTACAGTACCACGGCAATACTGCGAATCTAGAACTAGGAAACTAGGAGTTCTTGGGAGAGTAGTAAGAAAACAAAACAAAAACAAAAACAAAACACCGGTATGTATCAAGTGAGGGTAGAATGAGCCGAATCTTGCTTAAGAACTCCGGAAATCAAGGACTCTACCACTATCACCAAATCTAAATCAGAGACCACTGCCGCCCATGATTTCAAACTCTGGTAGGCGGAGAACGAGATTTAAGAACCCGTGCCGCAGCGCCACCCGGGAAACTGAGTACCTTTCTTGCGGAGATAACGGGCAATAGAGGGCGGAAATACGTTTCCCTGGAACTACGTTCCCTGTGCTTTCACACGCACACCCCCCGTGAAGCTTGTCGGGACACGTAGTCTTCCAGACTCTGTTATGCTTCGGTTCAAGGGCCAATGGAACTACATGTACCAAGATGCATCCCTCAGAATCAATTGAATCCGTTACTGGACTTTTACCTCCTGGGAAATGTAGTCCAGCTCGCCTTGGCCCTTACAGGCTCAGGTTAACCCTGAGACTCCATTTCCCAGCAAGCTCAGCGTTCAGCGTGCGCTATGGAGCCGCGAGTCGCAGAGCTGAAGCAGAAGATTGAGGACACCTTGTGTCCTTTTGGCTTCGAGGTTTACCCCTTCCAGGTTGGTTTGTCTTACCTAGGGCGAGCTGTATGATTAGCTGCGGTGCTAAAAGTGTGAGGACCGATGAGCCCTACTAATCCTCCCCAAACTCTTACGACCGGGTCTCCAGATCGTAGTGTGAAATGGGGCTTGATTAAAAAGGTAGAGAAAGAGCCATATGTTTGCCTTTTACCTCTTTATAATATCAAACAAATGAATGGGATACAACCACGATCCCCTAATCTGTCATCTCCATAATTTACAGGAAAAATGTCTCCCAATGGGGCTGGGATTAGCGGATGCTTCCAAAGGAATAAGGAGAGGTGAACGCTTAGAAGGTTGGCATGGCTATGTATTAGGTCAGATGAAGACAGAAGAGTATTCCTGATGTTGAACAAGACACAATTAGCTAGTTTGTTCCGTTAGCCAACAGAAGGCTAATTCATGGTGTTGCTTGCCATCGGTACTGGACTGAGCATAGAAATTCCTCACGCTCGCCTGGTACAGAAGTCTCTGTAATCCTTTCCTCGTTACCCAACCCAGCCCGCCCTTTTCCACGCTTTCCTCCCACGGTGCTGAGTGAACAAGATATGTTTAAGACACAAACCTAAACTAAAATCAGCCTGAGTCCTTTGGCCTATCTTAAAAGAGCTCCTATTTCTCACCCATTCCATTGAGCTATCCACAGCGAGACTTGGAAGAAGATATTGTAGAGAAGTTAAGACTAGTTTGAAAGCACTTGCAGGAGGAAAAAAAAAAAATTTGAAATTGAAGTGCTGGAGGATGTAGCTCTCTGGCAGAGAACTTGACCACTACGCTTGAGGTCTTTGATTCAATCCCTAGTAATGAGGGAAAAGAACAAAACTGAGAGCTGAGGCTACAGCTCAGTGATAGAGGCTAGCTTGGCATTTGCAAGGCTCTGGGTTTCATCTCAAACACCAGCCCCAAAACAAAGCAACTGTATATGAAAAGATGGATTGAAAGGAGGAAAGGTTATGTATATCCTAGAGTCACAGTTTGGAGGCAGTGATGGATGGCAGCTATGGGAAGAAGCAGGAGTGCCCATGTGAGGGCTAGTCATGGTGGCAGAAGCCTTTGACCCCGGCACTCAGGCGACACAGGTTTGACACCAGCCTGGTCTGCATATGGAGCTCCAGGTCAGCTAGGGCTGTCATAGTGAGACTGTCTGAAAATTGTGTGATTTTGTGTGTCAAGTCTGGGTAATGGGAACTATTGTACTGAACAGTTAGCTGAAGCCCTGCCTGTATCGTAAGGTCCTGCTACTCACCTTTCTTCCCCTATATCCAACAGCCACCATGAATATCTCCTGAATCTTCCAAACTTTTTTTTTTTTTTAAGCCCACCAACCTATCCCATATTTCTGACCATTTCTCCCATTAGGTTTACTATAATCTCCTTGCTGCCATCTTGGCTCTAATCCATTCTTTACATTGCAACCTAAAATATCAGATTGCTTTACTCTTTTAGGTGTTAAATGACTCCTCATTGTCACCAAGTTGGAGCCATAGTTTTTAACTTGATATGTGAGGCCAGGCACAATCTCACTCCTCCTGATCTCTCAAGCCTTTTCTTCTGATCCTTAGTACAGCTCCATAACTTCCACCAAACCAGACAGTCTGTTCTTTCCCAAAATCCCTTAGTACCTTTTTTTTTTTTTTTTTTTTTTTTTTTTTTTTTTTTTTTTTTTTTTTCTTTTTGGTTTTTAAAAAAAGACAGGGTTTCTGTGTGTAGCCCTAGCTGTCCTGGGACTCCTTCTGTAGTCCAGGCTGGTCTCAAACTAAGAGATCTACCTACCTCTGCCTCCCAGAATGCTGTTCAGTTTTTTTCTAATGTCAGAGGACACTCGTCTGGTCCTGGCATAGGACTAGTCATTATAACTTTCTATTTATTCTAGTTTGTAAACTCTTGTCTATATATTCTTTTTCTTAATTTTATATGCATTGTTGTTTTGCTTGCATATATGTCTGTGTGAGGGTGTTGGACCCCCTGGGTCTGGAGTTATAGACAGTGGTACACTGCCATGTGGGTGCTGGGAATTGAACCTGGGTCCTCTGGAAGAGCAGTCAGTCCTCTTATCAGCTGAGCCATCTCTCCAGCCCCCTTGTCTATATATTCTAAGTCACAGGCAATTGCAGACAGATTCCCCATACAAGGTTAATATGCATTTGTTACACAGCATCAGTGAAATTCTGTGAATGAATGAAATGGAGATGAGTACAAAAACGTATGACGCCCTGAATACAAAGACGGGCCTTGGTGAGCTGCTTGCCAACCAGATCTGAACTTTGTGTTCCAGGTGGCATGGTACAATGAACTCCTGCCTCCCACCTTCCACTTGCCCTTCCCAGGACCTACCCTGGCCTTCTTGGTACTCAGCACACCTGCTATGTTTGACAAAGCCCTCAAACCCTTCCTGAAGAGCTGCCACCTCCAAACACTGAGAGACCCTGTGGATCAGTGTGTGTCCTACCACCTGAGGAGTGTTACAGAGGTATGGCCCAACTGCCCTTCAACTCCCAAACCTACATCTGCATCCCTGTTGATCTAGCTCGGTGCAGGATCTACACGTAAGGCCTGAAGCTGTGTCTTCTGTAACTTCCTATTCTGCCTTCTCACACCCAGGTTTTACCCTTTCTTTTCACAGACTCCCCATCTGAAATCAGTTTGGTAGGGTGCCTACCCTGATGGACAACTATATGAGCCTCGGGTTAGTCTTAAATCTCTGGAATATGAGTAAATCCAACATCTTTAGTCATTGTTCACTGGCCTTTGCCCTGGGCTTATAAATCTGTCTTTGGAGCCGTCTGAAAGCAGAACAGTATTTCCCAGCCTGTGCTCACTTATTTGGTTGGTTGGTTGGCTGGTTTTGGTTTTTTGAGACAGGGTTTCTCTGTGTAGCCTTGGCTATCTTGGGCTCACTCTATATACCAGGGTGGCCTCGAACTCACAGCGATCTACATGCCTCTGCCTCCGTGAGTACTGGGATTAATGGTGTACACTATCATGCCTAGCTGCCTATATTCATTTATTACACATACATCTCTATATATAAATTCCAGGTCTCCCACTCTAGAATTGTGCCACACAAGGCTCAATAGCTCCTGATAACGGCAGCTTCTAAGCAAGGTCTTTTGTATTTCCTCCCTTCTGAGGAAGCAGAGAACTGTAAATTTCTTCATTTACTAGCTTCTTAAAAGTTAAAGGTATGTTTTCCGTTCAGAGTTTTAATGGTGAATCCCAGTAGTAGGGACTTAGAGTCATGAGGATCAGGAATTCAGGATCCTCTTTGGCTACATATAGCAAGTTCAAAGCCATTCTGACCCTGTCAAAAAAAAAAAAACCATGTGCTTATGAGAACAGGAGCATGTTAATACACAACTTAGGCCTTCTTAGAACAAAGTCATGACTCTCATCGTGCTAACGGGCATCTTATTCTGTTCCAGAAGTTCCCAGACCTGCACATGGAAGTCATTGCTGACTACGAGGTACACCCCAACCGGCGCCCTAAGATTCTAGCTCAGACAGCAGCCCATGTGGCAGGTGCTGCTTACTACTACCAACGGCAAGATGTGGATGCGGACCCATGGGGGACCCAGGTTAGAGAAAAAATAGTAAAGGCTGCTGAAGTGCCCCAGGCGTCCCACATTCCTTCACCTTCCTTTGATGAAGCTGGTACATAACCCAGAACAAAGGATCTAGGGCCCTGACAAAAAGGCCACATATTTTCTGGCCCCTACACCTGCTTTCTGGTTTATCTGAGGACATAACAGTTCAGAAAACCTGGTCTTTTTTAGTGTTTTAAAAACATTCCCTAGCAGGGTCTGGAGAGATGGCTCTGAGGTTAAGAACATTGGCTGTTCTTCCAAAGGTCCTGAGTTCAATTCCCAGCAACCACCTCGTGGCTCATAACCATCTACAGTGCAATCTGGTATGCAGGCACACATGCACATAAAATGCTGTATAAGTAATAAATAAATCTTTAAAAAAAAAAAAAAAAAGTATTTCCTAGCCTGACATGGTGGTGCTGGTGGTGCACACCTTTAATCTCAGCATTCAGGAAGCAGAGGCAGGCAGATATTTGAGTTCAAGGCCAGCCTGGTCTACAGTTACAGGCCAAGACTTCCAGGGCTACACAAGAAAACCCTGTCTCAAACAAACAGAAATATTTACTGCATGTGTTTGCACTTAAGGAAGTCAAGAGGACAATTGTAGGAGTCAGTTCTTTCCTTCTACTATATGGGTCCTTGAGGACGAACTGAGGTTGTCAGGTTGGCTGCAAAGCACCTTCACTCACCAACTTCCTGGTCAGTTTTATTGTTTTTGAGACAAGGTCTCTATATCTCTGGCTATCTTGGAACTCACTGTGTAGAGGAGGCTGACCTTGAACTCATAGAGATAGCCTGCCTCAGGATCCTGAATACTAGGACTAAAGGTGTGTACCACCAGGTCTGGCCTGGTCTGTTCTTAAAGCTTTGTGTTACAGGGCTGTCTCAGAAAGGTTCAAAGGTAGAGTAGTGATCAATAGTGACCAAAACTGAAATTGGGAAGCTGAGCTTGGCCTGGTGGCTCACACCTGTAATCCCAGCACTCGGGAAGGCAGAAGCAGGCAGATCACTGTGAGTTTGAGGCCATCCTGGTCCAGCGAGTCCAGGACAGCTAAGGCTGCACAGAGAAGCCCTATCTCAAAAAACCAAGAAAAAGAAAAAAACTGGAAAGCTGCCTGAGGTCAGTGCTCAAGTGAGCCCTTCCTTATTCTTCAGAATGAGTCTGAATAGGTGGTCAAGAAAGAAGAGACAGTGAGATGGAAGTAAAGGCACTATGTGCCACACAGACACAGCAACCTGAATTTGATCTCTGGAACCCATATAAAGCTGTAAGAGAACTAAATCCATGAAATTGTCCTCTGACCCCCCCCACACACTCACAGACACACAATAATAAATCAGCATGCAGAGTGGGAAATAAATGAACAAAAATAGGGGCTGGAGAGATAGCATAGAGGTACAGGTACTTGTTGCTTTTATATGCCCCATATTAAATCCCCAGCACTCAGATCCATCTCTAAGTTCAGTTTCATGTTTGACATCTTCTGCTGGCCTTTGTGGGTACTGCTTGAATTCAAGCAAAACACTTGTACACATACAAATAAATTGGGAGGGGGAAAAAAAAAAAAGCTTGCAATAATGGTAGTTGGACCTAGTGTCAAAATCTCTGTAACCCTGTTTTTCTTTGTCCTCTCCCCAGCGCATAGCAGGTGTGTGCATACATCCCCGATTTGGGGGCTGGTTTGCTATCCGAGGGGTAATGTTGCTACCAGGGATTGAAGTGCCAAATTTGCCACCCAGCAAGCCCCCTGACTGTGTGCCTACAAGAGCTGGCCGCATCACTCTGCTTGAAGGCTTCAATTTCCACTGGCGTGACTGGACTTACCGGGATGCTGTGACTCCTGAAGAACGTTACTCAGAAGAACAGAAGCTCTATTTTTCTACCCCTCCTGCCCAGCGCTTGGCCCTATTAGGTTTAGCCCAGCCCTTGGAACACCCAAGCACTGCATTAGAGCATCCTGTGCTTCCCAAGCCTCAGAATTCCAACAGAGCACGAAGCTGGCTTAGCCCGAAGGTCTCACCACCTGTGTCCCCAGGCCCTTGATACTCTCCCCCTGTAAGATCCCACTAATGGTGAATGTTTTATTTGGGGTACGATTTGAGTTTTGAAAAAGCACTTTTGTTGTTTGAGACGGGGTTTCTCTGTGTAGCCCTAGCTGTCCTGGAACTCTGTAGACCAGACTGGCCTCAGAGATCTACCTGCCTCCCTGGAGTGCTGGGAGCTTTGCACCACCACCACCTGGTGAAAACTGACTTTTTATTTTGGGTATTATTTCCCAGTAATAGTCCTTCAAAGAGAGGCAAGACTCAATTTACACTGGTCAAGACAAATCACACATCAAGGCAGACACAATTCAAATATTGGACTCACACCTGTTATTATTTTTGTGCAGTACTCGAAGATACTATTTAGATCCACGGTTCTCAACATGCCTAATGTTGCAACCCATTAACACAGTTCCTCATGTTGTGGTGATTCCCAACCATTAAATTATTTTTGTTTCTACTTTTAATTTTGCTAGTTATGAAACACTAAATAGCCGAGTTTTTCAGTGGTCTTAGACAATCCTGTAAAAGGGCCATTCAAGACTCTCCCTGGGGTCTCGACACAAGGGTTGAGATTTAAAGGAACCTTGGATTTAAAGGAACCTACGGGTAACCACACAAAACTATGCCAACTTTGTATTTAAGTAAACTACTTTGAAACTGCCTGGCCTATAGTAAGTGGTATGTTATTACTACAGGCTTAAGGAATCATACTTCTGCTCAAATAGATGGAGTCTGCGTTCTGGAATGTTGGAAGGCCATGACGGCACAGGATTTTGTTTGCCCTAACCAAGTATCCCGAAGAAATTTCTTACTGACTTAACAGGATCAAAAAGGAATATTCTAATGATTGCTAGAATGCACGCAGTCGAATATAATCGTACCCAAAGCTTTCCCTGTTCTCAATTCTATACATAAAGGTTCTGCAACCCTGATTTTTCAAGCCTCACTGCTGAAGTCTAGGGAAGTGGCTTAGTTGGTAAAGTGCTCACCATGTGTAGTATAAATTAATTGGCAGTGGTGGTGTACGCCTTTAAATTATCTTAGCAAACTGTCACGTGCTGTTTGTACTTGCCGAAAACTGAGAACAGTGCCAGACTCAATCATGCTAATTACTGTCCAAGACTCAGACCTGGGACAGGATAGCCCCCAACCTGTAACAGGGAGAGAAAAGCAAACTGCTCAGGGTATTAAGCATTGCACCCTTGAAAACAGGTAGGTGTAACATTTCCAAGCTTAGTTTTGTTTATCCCATGATCCAAAAATGTAGTAGGAAAGGGAAAAGGAGCCACAATAAGCTACTTCTTTGGTGGAGAACACCCCACTCTTTACTGCCCGGAACTCCGCCATGATTGTTTCAGAAGGATTTTCACAGTTAATTTCATCTT